ACCTTTGTCATGTAAGAAATATCTTGCCTTTTTCAAGGCAAGATACCAGAAGAAAACATTTACGAGTCCATACCCTGAAAATGAACTTAAGTAGAGGAGCTATCGTTGATGTTTTCGAAGCCCTCTACAGAGTACCCGGAGGCATTAGAAGGCGTCTAGACCCTTTCCATTTACCCCGAGGTTACATGGAACCTCTTTATACTGTGGTAGAATCAAAGAATATAGACGCTTTGGTAGAATCCTAGGCGAAGAAATTCTGTTTTCTGTGCGCCTACTTCTGCGACGAAGTAGGCGCACTTCTCGTTGCACTAGTGAACGGAGGTCTACGGAAGTCATGCGGAAACTTTTCCGAATTTCGTTTGTCATCGACTACTTTCGACGTGTCTCGTACTGAAAAAAAGTACCCACATTCACTAATATGTGCTAATATCCCTAATGTACAGTTGGTTGTAAAATAATAGGTTGTAAAAAAATAGGTGAAAGATGTCAACAGAAAGGTTTGAAAATTAAAGTTTTACCATGTCTTTAATTTTAAAAATTACAGATTTAGTCATTTGCATGTTTCTAATATTTCACGTTTTATGTCTATAAAAGAAAATAGTACAATTATGAGTGGAGTAAAACTGATACTTTTTGTAGTTATATTATATTGCGTACGTGTGCAAAGTAACGACAAAAAGTGACTATTGGTCCAACGTGTCTACACACCTACTTCAACGTCAAAATACAACAGCGTTCGATTCCGAACCGAACAACAACGTACTGTACCTCGTATATAAGCGAAAAAACCGTGCACATAAGCGTTCATTTCGGCCAATTACAGAGGATGCTCTAAAGCTCCTAAAAGAAAGACCCCTGCCCCCGTCAAACCGGCAGCCAAACCAATTAACCCAGCAACAACAACCGCGGGTTTCAGCTATGCGCAAGCAACCAAAGGAGCCCCACAACAAGCGGCCCCAACAATGCAAGACGCAGCCGCACTCATTGCTTCATTCCGAACGGAATATAATAAAAGAATGATGGAGATGATGTCCGTGATGGATAGGGCCACAAAAATGATGACTGCATTTGGTGAAATAAATCGACAATGCTAGCAAACCATACGGAAGATTTACGCATAGGGTCCTGGAATTCCGGAGGAATTTTCAAAAAACTCAACCTTTTGGACGAGATAATAAATAGATTAGAGCTCGATATCGTAGCAATTCAAGAAACAAAATTAGTGGAAAGGAAGAAAACTAAATTTCCAGGCTACGATATCTATAGAATTGACCAAAGAGCAAGATCAGGAGGAACAGCCATACTAGTTAAAAAAGGCTTAGAACACGAACACATCCCAACACCAGGTGGACTAGTCACAATGGAAGCCACGCTAGTAAGATTAAAGGCCAACAATGAAACACTAAAAATAGTGTCAGCTTATGTCAGACCGAACGAACCGATTTTCGATGAAGACTTGAGCCTAATCCTCGATACAGAAGAACCTACGGTAATTATTGGAGACCTTAATGCGAGATCTCCCAACTGGTTCGACAGAGCGACCAACAATAACGGGAGACGTCTTTGCGGCCATCTCGAAAATAGACCAAACACGTATGTGATCGGACCAACAGAACCGACCTGTTTTCATGGACAACTTCCAACACACATAGACATTGCAATCCTACACAACGTGGGTCAACAATACGAGATACACTCTCTAAATGAAGGCGATTCAACGCACAATGTAATCGTCCTGACCCTGGGAGCAATAGAACTAAACTATTTACAACCCCACAAAAGAAAAATAACAAATTGGTCAAACTTTAGAAGAATTGTGAGCGAAAACATCGGTAACATTCCAACAATAAATAACATCACAGAACTAGAAGACACTGTAACAAAACTAGAAAATACGATAATAAACGCTATCGATGCCAGCTCCAAAACGGAAACTATAGCAAGACAAAAAGGAAGATTCGGAGACATAAGTCACGAACTACAAGAATTAATCCAAGAAAAGAACAGAAAAAGAAGAAGAGCTTACCGTACTAGAACAGTAGAAGACAAAAGGATTGCAAATGAGCTAGACCGGGAAGTCAAAAGACAACTACGTAATCACAGAAATGAAAGCTGGGACAACTATATCCAAGATCTAGACCCTAACAAATCCGCCTTCTGGAAATTATCGAAAATCCTCCGACAGGACAAGAAACCCATACCTCCACTACATGGAGTACACGGGATTGTCCACACGGAAATAGACAAAGCTGAAGTCCTAAAGGACGAACTAGAAAGAGCATGTAGAAATAATGAAAACCCCAACGAAGACATAGATTTCGAAGAAGAGGTAGAAAGAACAGCCAGAAGAAATAAAGAGAAGAAAGGGCAGAGTAGGAATTACACATACCTCCCCCGAAGAAATAAAAGAGCTAATAAAGCTAACTAACGCCAAAAAAGCCCAGGTCCTGATAATATCACAAACAGGGCACTGAAAAACCTACCCAACAAAGCTATTGTCTACATAACAAACATCGTTAACAACATGCTTAAACTACGATACTTCCCGGATAGATGGAAAGAGGCACATATAATTATGATAAAGAAACCAGGGAAAGACGGCGCTTTTCCGCAAAATTATAGACCTATCAGCTTATTATCATCAATAAGCAAGATAGCAGAAAGAGTTATACTAAAAAGACTCAATGATGAATCGGAAGCATTAGGCACCATACCAGAAGCGCAATTCGGATTCAGAAGCGAACATTCGTGTGAACTACAAGTTCTACGGTTCACGGAATTTGCAACGAAAGGTTTTAACGAAAAAATGTACACGGCAACAGCATTTCTGGACGTCAGTAAAGCATTTGACAGGGTCTGGCACGAAGGACTCATATATAAAATGAACACCATGGGGTACAGCGAGGCGATGACATGCCTCCTTGGATCATACCTAGCCAACAGAAGGTTCAGGGTTCGAACAGGGGCAACCCTGTCCGAAGTCGGAATCCTGGAAGCGGGTGTGCCTCAGGGAGCTGTGCTGTCGCCTTACCTGTATACCATCTATACGGCCGACACGCCAAAAGAACCAGGATCCCTGTTGAGTCTTTACGCTGACGACACAGCAATAGCTGTTAGCTGGAGGAATCCAGATCATGCAGCTAATCATCTGCAGAGAGAGCACTAAATAGATTCGAAAGATGGTGCATCAAATGGAAAATCGCCTTAAACCCGGATAAAACACAGGCTGTAATGTTTAGTCACAGAAAAAGTGTACCTAACCGCGAAGTAACGATTGGAAAAACACCCAGTAGAATGGACAAATGAGGCCAAATACCTAGGGGTGTTACTAGACAAAAACTCACCTTTACGCAGCACATCAACCAGCAAACATACAGAGCCAAAGCGCTGAAAGGTCAGCTCTCAACGCTTATCGGCAGACGAAGCAAGCTAAGATTTAAAACCAAAATCAGAATAGCAAACAGCATTATCCTGCCAGTCCTATCGTATGCCTCCGCAGCATGGGGACACACCTGTAAAACAAACAGGAAAAAGATACAGACAGCGCAAAACCAACTTATAAGAGATGCTCTAAATCTACCAAAATACGTACCTCTGAGAAATTTATACAGAGACTCAGGACAAACAAGGATCCCACATACAATGGATAAAAAGGCATACGAACTTTTTAACGGACTAAACAACCACCCAAGTAGCATGCTAAGAGAGCTGACTAATTACAATGCAAACACAGGACACTACACAGAAGACCTAAACAGCAAATAGCCGGATGTAGGGTCCCAAACTAATAAATGAAGAATGAGATGGTCGCAAAAACGTCAAACATAAAATGCAGTCATCAGAAAAACAACCCAAAAAAATCTTATTTTTAGGACTCTGGCGAGAGGGTACAGGTGCCAAGGCACTTAGTTAAGGACAATATACACCGGGGTGTGTGGAGGCCATATACACCCTGCAATGCACACCCCACCACACCGCACACTATTTAGCATGTAAGAAATAAAAGGGTAAGAATTGTGCAGGCATTTTATTGTTCCATCGCCAAGGAAGACCCAACGTAACTCATACCAATTTTCTACATAGAAGACCCGTCAGGCCTTTATATATCCGCTGATGCGGAATTGGCCCTTAAGGCGGATCAAATGAATGCTGATCCTTTCGCGACTCCCGAGCACTGAGACCATGTGCGGCAAACATGAGCTTGGTGGCCGGACCCTCTCGGGTGCCCAGCCGGCGAGGAGAACAAAATTTATTTTGCCAAATCGGCGGCTGAGTGACCGAGCACACACATATCTTTCCGGACATGAAGTCGACAGCCCAGGCTGTCGACTTCATGGACGGAACACACACGCTATTTTTATTCTTTTTTATGTTAGGGACTTCAGTCCCGAAGTGCAGTCCGAGTAAAATCAATAGAGTCAGTAAAGTAATTAGGAGAAAAGCCTAGATGTGGCTACCCCTACAGTTAGGTGGCATAACCACAGTCAATAAAAAACAGGAGATGTCTCATTACCCAGGGCATCTCAGGTAACTTTCAGATCATAGCCTCCTCACGTCAGTCGTACGATGAGGAGGGGTGGAGGAAAAGCCTGGGGGTCAGATAGGTACCACTTCAACTAGTGAAGTGTGACCGGTTTGATCTTCGGACATGTGGATCCCATTCTTATATTGGTATACACATGTTCCTAGGGGTAGGGTTGATCGCTTAGCGTGATTGTGTGTGTGTGTAAGCGTTCATTTCTAAACTTCGTCGCGCCGTGCTTCGCTTCTCTCTGCTGTATCCCTGTACAGAAGTATACATGACAGACGGTAAGCTAAAAGTAGTTTATGTACTAGTGAAGATAGTCGACAATAACGTTTTAAATAACAACGAACAATTATTTCGTCTTTTGTGAGAACTAAAGTGTTTATAGTTTCCTTTATATATTAATAAACTTCATCTAAACTACGTCTTTTATTTTTTGTATATCGCTTTAACCTTACAAAAAAGAACTACTTACCTTGTGTAAAGTGTAAATACCATATTTGACCTACGGAATCCAAAAAACCATCTTTCCTAAACTGCTCGAAAATGTCATATTTATTACGGCGGGAAAGTTCCTATTAAAATCAAAGACAGCCATTTCTAAATGGTCTAGTATTGAATGATTTGATTCGAAGAGACCAAAAGTTATTTTTCCATTATCATCAAGAAAAGATATTTGCTTTTTATAATAGCCATAGGAGTTTCTTGATCCAATACTTTTATTTGTTATGAAAATTTCTTCCGCTATTTGTTTAATCAAAGACAGCCCTGAAACGTTGGAAGGAATACCTAAATAAAAGTAAGTTTTGAATCTAGATATATACAGGGTGGTCTTTAAGTAATTATACAAAAATAAACAGTAGATACTGCACTTTAAAATATTACGATTTAAGCCAAATCACTTCAATAAAATGTTGATATTATGAAAGATACACACACAACACAGACAGAGAGAGAGAGAGAGAGAGAGAGAGAGAGAGAGAGAGGAATATGAGAAATTATAATTTGGGGCATATTTTGATGTAGCTGATAGAGGGTGGCATACATTTGCGCCTAACTTTTTGCTCTTCAAGTTAGAGCTATTTGTGCCAAAAACATGACTAAACTGTTCAAGATAATCGCATTTTACAAATCAGCTGCGTAACTCGGATTTAACGCACTTACTCTAGTCAATGAAGGAAAAATTGACAAAAACATCAATATTTCTGAATTTTAATATATAATACATCTTACTAAACATAATAATATTGAAGAAAAAAATTATACGCTAATATTTTTTACATACATCAGTAGGATAATTTTAATAAAGTGTATTGGATTTAACATTAAATATTTCACCTTTTGTATTAAATTAAAGTAATTATGTTTTAATGGGAATAATCCACAATTGAAGAATAAAGTAAGTTTATTGACGTTTCAATTACCACTTCGGAAATCATTCTCAAAATAAAAACAGTAATAAATTAAACAAATTTTATTTTTTGGTCCTTGGTGAAAAATTCTTCTAATAATTTAATTTTGTCTGACTTATTTATATTGACAATTCAGACATAATATATTATACATTTTAACCCATTAGCGCCGTGCATAACTTTAAGGCAAAGGCAACCATGCCTGTATTTGGGAGGAGCTTGAAGTCATAAAACAACCATAAAAGACGTGTGATCTTGTCAATTCCATCAACCATAATCGCCCACACCATAGATAAGAGGGTTAGGGCCCACACTCAGTTAGGTATAATGTGTATATATTTGCAGTGTTAAGAACTGTTTGTTAGTTTGGTGTATTTAAAGTATATTATAATAATATTAGAACTTGAAAATAACGCACATTCGATTTAAGTAAGTAACATAATTTCGATATAAATGAAACTTATTGTTTATATATGTTAAATTTGTGTTCATTATACTTCTAAAAAACATATTTTAAATGATTTATATGAATTGATAAATAACTACTTGTCAATACCTGTTGTAACCCATCCGTTGCCTTAAAACAACGCTAGGCGCTTGTACACCTATATTTTAAATTTTATCATTTTTGTTCCAGACTAGGTTTTGTTTGCTTGCACTAAATTGTCTGTGGACCAAAAAGAAATTATGATGGCTTTTGACTTAGTGGTTATATTCTAATATATTCAAGTGGCAAGAATAAAGGTTGAACAAGAACTGTCGGATGAAATAAATATAAAAAGAGGAGTGAGACAGGGCTGTATATTGTCGCCTTTATTTTTAACTTAATATTCGGAGGAAATATTTAAGGAAGCCTTAATGGAGACAACCGAAGGTATTATTGTGAATGGAGTAACCTTCAACAATATTAGATATGCCGACGATACCTTAGTCCTTGCCAATTGCGGAGAAGACCTTCAAATCTAATGAACAAAATAAAACAGACTTGTGATCAGTATGGATTAAAACTCAACGTTAAGAAAATTAAATAAATGATAGTTAGCAAAGAAAATTATATACAGGATGACGGTATAAAAGTCGGAGATGCCACACTGGACAGAGTAGAGAAACTCGTGTATTTCGGCAGTAATATCAATGAGAGCTGGGATCCATCCGCAGAAATTAAAAGCCGAATAGAACAAGCCCTAGCTGCCTTTGTAAAAATAAGAAACGTACTTTGCAGTCACGATCTTAGCATTGACCTTAGAGTTCGTATGACATCTTGTCAACTTGTATATTTTATTTATTGTGAAAAAACAGTTAAGTCACTTTGTTATACTCATTGTGGGTGACAAATGGAATAAGTCAATCAAAACTCGGAAAAAAATGTATATTTGTAATTGATTTTCTACAAGACATATGTAATACAATAAATCACGGTAAGTTATAAAATTTTATTAATGAGTGCTTCATAATGTAGGAATCAATCAGTTTTTACGTTCTCCTGAAAAGTTGCCATTTTTGACTTATGTGTTTATTCGCAACCACCCATAGATATGAAAAAATGATAAAAATAAGTCTTGAGTACAAATAGGTAAACTAACTAATAAAACTTAACGCTGAGTTTAATAGATTTAAATAACTTCTAATCCTTGCGTAGAAAGTTTTTGGCAGTACTTGGCTTAATTATAAAGAGATTTGGGAATTTTTCTGTAAAACAATTGTGAATAGTAGGGTTCTTTGGGTTAGACCTGGTTTTTGCGGCGTATGCTACACTTAGATAAAGTCTTCTGTCTTCTAAGGATGGTTCACCAACTTCACAATAAATACTTTCGATTGGTGTTGTGCGAAAAGCTCCAGATATTATACGTAAGGATTGGTTTGTGAAGACTGTCAAGTTTTTTTAGCAGTGTCTTAGTGGCTGTAGAATAAAAACAATGGATTTATTTTGTTTTAGGAGAGTTACAGTGCAATATAGACAGTGATGATTCGGATCGTGATTCGACATATACACCAAACAGTGATAGTGATAACATTCCCCGCACTCTTCAGCTTGCTCTAGATGTCGCAGCGGAGTTGCCGAAGTATAATAATGAAAATGCGAGGGCAAGGCCGTCTTCGCCAGTATTATTAATAAAGCGTGGAAATAAAAGTGATTCGAGAAAAATCGGTCGCGACAGAACGGAAAAACTAAATGCAGGTCCTGCGTACTGTACTTGTCGAGCAAAGATTCGGAGCGAAAGAAAAATGTTGCCTTTAGGACCATGCTGAAGAATATGCCAAGCCAAATTTTTAGATGAAAAAAGACGTACCTTTTTTAATGAGTATTGTAATAATATTATATGAGCAATAGATATCGAGAATTAGGCTGTAAGTAAACCCAAAATGGAAGATACTAATCGTCAAAAATTTAGACCAAAAAACATACAAATATTTGTATGTTTTTTGTCTGAATTTGTAATACTTGATGGACAGCGTTTGCAAACATGTAAAGGTTGCTTCCTTAAAACATTTGGCGAGACCGATAATTTTATAAATTTGATTGACGTAAAGAAAGCTACTTCCATTGGTGGATTTGTTGCTGATGACAGAAGGGGCATAAATCCCCACCTTTAAAATTTTCAAAGGAAATATTAGATAATGTGCGTCAACATCTATTATCCTTTCCAGCATACGAAAGTCACTTCACAAGAAGGGAAAATAAAAAAAATATTTAGCATCCCACTTGACTATGAAACTAATGTACGATCTCTACAAAGATATCTATAAAGATGGGGTATTAATACGCTATTATATACAAGATTATTTCACCATTTAAACTTAGCAATTAAAAAGAGAAAAGCAGATACATGCGACGAATGCAATAAATTTAAATTGAAACTGGACCCTGCTGAGAATGATGAGGCTAAAACTGAAAATCAAATGGACAATCACTTATTTTTGGCAGGTGAGATTTACAAACAAAAACAAAAATAAAAAAAAACTAGCAAAAGCCAATGAAGCTATTAGCTGCTTGATGATGGATTTACAACAGTGCCTTGCTACTCCAATTTTAACTAATTCCATTTCATTCTATAAGCGTCAGCTATGGACGTATAATTTAACGATCCATGATAGTACAACAGTTAAGTCATTTTGCTACATGTGGTACGAGACTATATCAGCTCGAGGAGCCAACGAAATTGCTCTTGTCTTTACAATCATATTCAAACCTTACCCCCTATTATTAAAGAAGTAATAGTATATTCAGATACTTGCGGGGGACAGAACAACAATTTATTTGTGACTGCGATGTTTCAAAAGTTCCAAAACCTTGAAATTATAGAACATAAATTTATGGTTTCTGGGCATTTTCATATGGAAGTTGATGATGACCACGCAATTATAGAAAGAAAAAAAAAACAACCAATAGTTTGATCAGCCATCCTTATGAATGGTATCAGTCGGTTCGCTATTGCGGACCAAGGTTTACCGTTGTCGAAATGACCCATACTGACTTTTTAACAAACTCAGCTATGTTAAAAGACCCACTTGTTAAAAGAAAGAAGGATGAAGCAAAGAATGACTTTAAGTGGCAACCTGTACGATGTTTTCAGTACACTAAAAATTTTGGCAAAATCAATTTTAAATGTAGCTTAGACGAATATGAACCATACCAACAAGTATCATTTTTACGCATTGTTCCACAGATTACAAACATGTCACTGCCAATTTCCGAAGAAAAGAGAAGAGATCTCTTGGCACTACTTGACTACATTCCACCTGTTTTTCATGATTTTTATACACAATGGCCGTCTTCTTCAAAGTCAACATCTACCGATCCCGATGTACAAGAATTTGATGAAGATGGTAATAACTAGACTTCGGCAAATATGCAAATAAAAATGTAGAAAATATGCGCATAAATATGCACGTGTTTACCCGAAAATATGCAAATATTTTACAAAATATGCATACAAATTAATAAAAAAATCGTAAAATAGTAACAATTTTATTAAAAAAAGTGTACATAACTAAATATTTCCTAGTATTCATTAAGATTTACATTTATTTTAAGTAACTAGATCATTTTTAAGTATCAATAAACTTATTTAGAATTATGGTAGCAATAAATGACCAAGTGGTGTTCAAAATTTTCTAACAAAAACTTGTGGCTTCTGTCTGAGTACATATATTTATATATGGAAAAACTTCGTTCAACATCAACTGATGTAAGGGGAGCATTTTTCAAACTAACCAAAACATTTGGTTCTAAATTAATTGTTTCCGAAATATTTCCAGCTAGAACACTGACTACTTCAGAAAGAATATGGTAACCTTTATTTTTTTCCATAGTAGCTTCAAATTTTTTTAAAATATCTTTTTCAATATTACCTCTAACGTTCCGACAACATGACGCAAATTCTTTTATTAATGCTGTACTTTCGAACAATAACAGTTTTGGTGATTCTAACTGAGTAATTGTTTTTTGAACAAAACTAAAATTTGATTTTATAAATGAAAGTTCTTGTTGAAGCAAGTTACTCAGAAAAGTTTGTTTAGAATCCAAAAGAGATTGGGAACTTTCATCTGTTAACGTATCAATTATGTTCTTTATTTTAACAAAATGATCTGCATAAAAATTAGCTGCTTCTAACCATGTTCCCCATCGCGTTAAAATAGGTTGTGGTAGAAGAGGAATGTTAGGTAGCATTTCTTTATAAAGTTGAGTTCTTATAGGAGATTTAAGAAATACTTTTTTGACACTGGGTATCATGGTATTTACAAGAGGAAACTTTTTTCGTATTTCCTCTGCAACTCTGTTTAATCCATACGCTACACAAGTATCATGTATTAAATCTGGGAAAAATATTTTTAAATTTTGTCCTGCTTTCACCATATAAGGAGCAGCATCCGATAAAATAAGCAGTAATTTATTAGAAGGAATAGTTGTCGGAAGAAAAAAAGTTGCTAATGTTTCTTGTATAAAACGCGAAATTGTTAAAGCATTTGTTTTCTCAAATTGCTGGCATGAAATACGATGAGATTTTGGTAAGGTATCTTCTTTAAGAACACCAATCAATAAATGAGCAATATACTTTCCTGAGGAATCAGTTTTTTCGTGTACAGGTATGTAAAAATAATTATCTGCAATTTCTTCCTTAATATTAATCAACACCGACGAGTATAGCCCGTTCACATTATTTCTTCTTAGAGACCGATCATTTGGAACATTAAGTTTGCAATATTTTTTTACAAGTCTTCATTAAAAGTTTCTTGCTCATCTAATTTTTTTAAGGTGTTTTTGGTTAATCAAATAACTGGTTTGAAAAAAAAAACACTCGCTAAGTGTTTTAAATGCAGTATTAATCCACAAATTAGTTTTTGTTACTAACCATTAGTACATCATATAACTTATTTTAAAATTCAACAAAAGTTTTTTTTTTTGTTTAATTCAATTACAATAAAAATAATCGTGTTTTAGAATAGCTGACTTCATAAAAAAAAGTAAAGGTGAAAAATTTTTCTAAATACACACCATTGTATTGTACCATGGACAATTTTTTCTCACTAAAGGAAGCTATTTTTCATTTAAAAACAACCTACGAGTACTAAATTTCCAGTAAATACGTTTATTGGTTTTAAAGTTATTGTTGTTATTAACTAAAAGAATTTAATTTTTTTTAATTTTAACACCCTGTATCTCGAAAAGTAAATAAGTTTGACCCCTCATTAACTATATCGTTTTGTTCAATTTTTCGAGAAGTATCTACAGTCAAACGTTGTAAGTGTCATTTGGAAACACCCTGTATGTATGAAATATTAGATATTTAATAGAAAATATTAGATACTTACGATTTTGCCACAGACTGAACAGTAGATTTTTCCCATATCCATAGACAGCTCTTTATAAGGTTTAATCCAAGTTGAAGCACTGGTTGTTTTAGGCATTATAAAATCACAATCTTCCTTTTTGTTACGCACAACGAGTGTTTACGCTTTGAATATCAAAACAAAAATGATTTACAAATCTGAGCATCAAATTAGAAATGTTTAGGTACATAATTCAATACACATAATTCATATATTACAAGGTACATAATTCATGATTCAAACTATTAGCCGTTTACCTGCTGTTAAGATACAAGAAATTGTAGATAGATTTGGGGATTAGATCATAAAATGCACATGAGCGAACCCTTAGCGATTATCCAATAACTGAATGCCTCAGTGACCGAGACTTTCTAAGAATGTTGAGGGCTACTTAAATTGATCTTCTTTGAAATTGTAAATGTTTTGTACCTGTAGAGATTACGTACTTAGATCATTTCTTGATTAAAATGACTACAAAATTTTATACAAGAATTGAAATAAATTGGTATGTTTAAAAATTTTCAAATACAGTATAAAAATCTGAACTTTTATGCACTTTATGCAAACTTTTATACAAATATGCCAAAATATGAAATATTTGCATAAAATATGCACAATATGCAAAATATGCAATATGCATATTTGCCGAAGTCTAGTAATAACTGATGTGTGTAAATACCTTTTAACATAAAATAATAAACTTTCTGTAAAATGCATTGTTAATTTGATGATTTTGTTCTTCACTACTTTAGAATATTACATTATTTTTGGTTATTTGTTATATTTTATTTACTGTGAAAAAACAGATAAGTCACTTTGTTATACTCATTGTGGATGACAAATGGAATAAGTCAATCAAAACTCAGGAAAAAAATGTATATTTGTAATTGATTTTCTACAAGACATATGTAATACATTAAATAACGGTAAGTTATAAAATTTTATTAATGGGTGCTTCATAATGTAGGAATCAATCAGTTTTTACGTTCTCCTGAAAAGTTGCCGTTTTTGACTTATGTGTTTATTCGCACCACCCATAGATATGAAAAGATGATAGAAATCAGTCTTAAGTACAAATAGGTGAACTAACTGATAAATAAAATTTTCTGAAATTTCTAATATTAGGAAATAAAAATGAAAAACTAAGAAACGTATTTTCACTCACCTACAATAAACAGAAATATACTCACGTAGATAATGTTTCTTAATATATTTTACAAACATTTTATGTAAACTGAAATTATAAATATTCTGCAATGATATAAAAATAGCTACCATCCACTGATATTATGTATGTCATTTTTAAGTAGGTACATTCGTTAGTAAAATACATTATTAAGAATATTATTTACTTATCAATGAGAATTTTAATAGACTTAAAATGCGAAAACGTTTAATCATTCCAAAAGGTATTGTTTAATAATAAAAACTAAAAAATTATAGTTAAGGAAACTGTAATTATTATTCTTGAAACGTACTATATAATACACATATTATTTATTATATAACTACAGCACAAATTTCCCGAAAAATTGCATGAATCCACAGTTATACCTATACAAAAGCCTAATAGTATTAAAACAAGTCCCGAGTCATACCTTTCGATATCTGTAACATGCGCCATGTGTAAGTTACTAAAAAAATTATTAATAATAGACTAAGATGCCACCTGGAGTGACAATATTTAATTATTCCAGAACAATGTTGTTTTAGAGAACAAAGGTTAACCATAGATAATTTCGAATGATTTGGAAAGTGACATTTCTAAAGCATTCGCACTAAGGAATAAATGTCTAGTAATTTTCTTTAACATACCAAGAGCTTTCGACATAGCTTGGCACGATTATATAATAAAAAAATACATGGTTGGAACATCCAAGGTCACTGCTTCCCCTTTATTAAAAACTTCCTTCAAAATAGAACTTTTAGAGTTAGGACAAACAACACATCAGATATAATGTATCCAGAAAATCGCATTCCTCAAGGCTCATCCTCTTAGTCTTACCCTCTTCATAGTAGCAATCAATGATACAAAAATAGGTTTCTGGTTTCATCCCATTTTCTAAGAAAAATGTCACAAATACTTCCAACCTAAGTCTATATGATGAGAACCTAAAACTTGTAATGTCAATAAAGTTCTTGGGCTTGACATTCGAAACTTTATATTTGATCTTATCTTGTCATAAGCTATTAAATCTTCTAAAAACTTTGGCCAATAAATAATGGGGTGCGGATCGCCAAAAATTTTTGAACACAGAATATTAGTTAGATCAAAATTAGATTATGGATCTTCTGTGTATTCTACAGTAACTAAGACATTACCACTAACTACCCAGTTCTTGATGTTCTCCACATTGCATCTACGTCGTATATCTGTACTTCTAGCTCTGTCCCATACTGACTTACCATCAATTTTTCATCTCTGCTGTTTTTAATATTCATTTTATCCTCTTTGTGTCGGGTCATGGTTCTGCTAAGTATGTCATTATTGGTCTGATGACTGTTTTATAAATTCTACCATTCGTTTTTTTCCCGATATTTTTATTTCTCCATTGTTTCATTTAGGCATCCTGCAGTTCTGTTTGCTCTATTCACTTGATCTTCCACTTCGGTTTCGAGCTTTCCGTAGCTTGACAATGTGATGCCTAGATATTTGAACTCCATCACTTGTTCTATTATCTGACATTATAGATCCAATTTACATATAAGTAAATTTGCTGTTTTAACCATCCATTTTGTCTTTTTTGGGGAAATGAATATGTTAAATTGTCTGGCAGTTATATTAAATTGGTGTAGCATACGTTGTAAACCATCTTCACTTTGAGAGAGTAGTATTGCATCGTTTTTCTCCTATTTGGTATCCTTTTTTAGTTCTTACTTTTGTATTATTTCGTCCACAATCGGGTTGAACAATAGAGGGCTCACGGAATCTCTCTATCTTATCCCATTCCAACTTCAATAGGGTCGGTTAGTTCTTATTCTACTTTTACTTTTTTTGTGTTGTTTTGGTAGATATTTTAGACCGTTTTGATTATTCCTGTAGGTATTCCTCTCGCGTACAGTATGTGAAAAACGTCTTTTTATTTGACTCGGTCAAATGCCTCTGTATTGTTATTCGAAAGTATTAATTGTGAAGTTGTTGAACCGCCCCTAAAAGACAGGACTTTATTTAAGTTTGGCATACGCCGTAAAAATCAAGTCTAACTCAAAAAACCATACTATTTAAACTTGTTTTACAGAAAAATTCTCAAATGTCTTCATAAATAAGCCAAGAACGGCCAAACCGTACGCAAGGATTAAAACTACTTAAATTAATTAAACTACACGGTTTCAGAATGCTTTTCCTCCCAATCGTCCTTAATTCCTCCATGGCATATAAATGCAACCCTCAGTGCTTAACCCGCCACAATTATTTCGACAAACATTCAACAAACCTACAGTTAATGAAATCCGCCTTCAATGATATGCTTCACAACTAAAAGGATTATACAAACACACACACACACACACACATATATATATATATATATATATATATATATATATATATATATGCACACAGATGCATCTAAATCAAATTAAGGTACTGGTTTTTAAAACTTTAGACTTAAATATTAAAACTTTCGAGCAACCTCGTATGCTGCACCTTTAGTTAAGTTCATTTTACACCCCTCGAGAGGGGATGCCGGTGGTGACCAGAGGAGAAGGGAAACACAGGCAGTCACAGTCCACGCTCAGCTCGAGTCGCAACAACATCATTACGCCAAGGACGCTATTTTTACATTGATCGTTTACAAATATTTTACATGTGCCTTTTTACTTCAATATAGTTTAGTTTAAGTGATTTGTTTTTTTTTTTGTTTACGTGAAATTCTAATAAGATTTAACCTACATCCCAAATATATATATATATATATACATGCACACAGATGCATCTAAATCAAATTAAGGTACTGGTGCTGCAATCTACTCTACTCTACTCTAACCAGACCACCCTTGCTGTCAACGCATCCAATAATTTTAATATCTTAAAAGAAAGTAATCTCCTTGTAGATCCTAGCATTCATCATGTGGGTTATGAATGTTGCTTAAAACTTAAAAGAAACAAATAGAAATAAGTTCAGTTATAATGAGTTGCTTTATAATTTTCGGAATGGTGATTACATTGCTCTTAACAACTTCCTTGCTTCCATAGACTACCAGGTATGTATAGTTTATGATGTTGATGTTGCTACAAAATTATTGTATGAAGTTCTCTCTATAGGAATTGCTTACTTTGTGCCATTAAAAAAATATCATCAACTTTTTCCAAGTGCTTCTCTGCTGATCTTAGAAGACTGACTCTGGAGAAAAAATATGCTCACTATATTTATGTTAATAATCGTGCTGATGATGACTATATTAGATTTTCTCACCTAAGAGCCAAATGTAAACAACTGTCTGAAATTTGCTTCAGCAACTATATGAAAGGTATAGATACTAGCATAAGAAATGATTCAAAATAATTTTAGAAGTACATTAAAGATAAGCGATCTAGTCATAACCTACCTTACTCCGTATTGTATCAAGTCCAACCTGCAAAAAATGGTCAAGACATAACTAATTTATTTATGAACTTTCTCCAAACTGTGTGTTCACCAAATAATAACAACCTTTACATACCTATCCATCCATTAACCAGCAACTTCAGTACAAATATTTGTCTTTCTAAGATAATTATGGCCGATATTTTTAATGGCATAGCTGCCCAATAGCCCAACCAGCTTACTGCTGATCCACGTGAGGTGCCTAATTTTTTATTAAAAAGTGTGTCTGTACCCTTGTAATACCATTTGTTATATTGTTTAATAGATCTATGGAAACCTCTGTATTTATTTCTTCATGGAAAGAAAGTTATGTTGTTCCTATATTTAAAAATGACCAGAAAAACAATATTGAAAATTATCGTATACAATATTTGTATACAATCTGCAATCCCTAATCTCTTCGACAGTCTTATAGCATGGCAACTTTCTTGGTTATGTAAAGACTTAATATCTCAATAAGAACAAAAAAAATATCTACCAAATCAATAAAATAAAAGTAAAAGTAGAAGAAGAACTAACGAACAATAATAAATCTGGCATTGGAATAAGAGAGGGGGATTCCCTAAGTCCTCTAATGTTCAACCTGATTATGGATGAAATAATAAAAAAATAAGAACTAAAAAAGGATACCAAATGGAAGAAAAACAACTTAAAATAATCTGCTATGCAGACGACGCAATACTAATTTCTCAAACTAAAAATGATTTACAACGTATGCTGTACCAATTTAATATAACCGCCAGAAAATTTAACATGTTAATTTCCCCAAAAAAAAAAGTTTGGTTACAACAACAAATTCACTAAGATGTAAATTGGAGCTGAAAGGTCAGATAATAGAACAAATGATGGAGTTTAAATATCTAGGCATAGAATGAAAATGATGAAAATTGAAAAATAAAAATTCTAAATGAAACAATATGAAGAAATAAAATTATTGGAAAAGAAACGAAAGGCAGAATTTATAAAACAGTTATCAGACCAATAATGACATACGCGGCAGAAACAAGACCAGACACAGTGAGGACAAACAGGATATTAGAAACAGTAGAGATGAAAACACTTAGAAAACTTGATGGTAAGACACTATGGGAGAAACTTAGAAGTACAGTTATACGACGTATAACTGTACTTCTAACGCAAGGTGGACAACATTTAAGAACTGAGTAAGAAATAGAAGAGTAGAATGAAACGACCATATAAGCCGAATGACAACAAATCGAGTAGTAAAGACGGCAAGAGACGGTTCTCCAATAGAAAGACGATCAGTAGAAAGACCACGAAAATGATGGAATGACAACTTACTGGAGGCACATTGAAAAACATACAGAGTTCTGTCTATATAAAAAGAAGAAGAAGAAGAAGAAGAAGAAACTAAGTGATACTTTAGGTGTACAGTGCAATATGTCAATCCTAAAAAGTTACTTAATTTCAATTAACATTTTTTTTTTTTTTTTTATTTACAATTTGCTTCAACCACAAAAGGGTTATTAGCAATGAACAGTATTGATATCAAATTACAAAGCTTATATTAAACTTGGTTAATGAGTCCTATAGTACGTAAAAAATTGAGAGTCTTAGATGAATTATTTTCACTTAAACAATCTTTAAATGTAGTTGGTAACTGTTGATGTTGTCGTTCTATAACGTAGAGGGGACAGTCTATTATTATATGTTGCACTGTTAGTTCACTATCACACACATAACACATTGGAGG